CGGCCCGCCTGCGGGCCGAGCCGCCGCCGCCCGGACAGCTCTTCCTGCTGCCCGGCGGCCGCCGCCACGAGGAGCCGGCCGCGAGCGCCGCGGCGTCGGCGGGCGGGGAGGGCGCGGGGGACCCGGCGCTGTGCCGGCTGTACCGGCACGTCTCTCACGACTTCCTGGAGATCCGTTTCAAGATCCAGCGGCTGCTGGAGCCGCGGCAGTACATGCTGCTGCTGCCCGAGCACGTGATGGTGAAGATCTTCAGCTACCTGCCCACGCAGGCGCTGGCCGCCCTCAAGTGCTCGTGCCACTACTTCAAATCCATCATCGAGACCTTCGGCGTGCGGGCGGCGGACTCGCGCTGGAACCGGGACCCGCTCTACCGGGACGACCCGTGCAAGCAGTGCAAGAAGCGGTACGAGCGGGGCGACGTGTCGCTGTGCCGCTGGCACCCCAAGCCCTACCACCACGACCTGCCCTACGGCCGCTCGTACTGGATGTGCTGCCGCCGCGCCGAGCGCGAGGCGCCGGGCTGCCGCACCGGGCTGCACGACAACAACTGGGTGCACCCGGCGGGCAGGAGGGAGGAGGGGAGGTGAGGACGGACGGACGGACGGAGGGACGGGCGGAGGGACGGGCGGGGAGGGGGAGAAAAGTGAAAAAAAAGAAGGAAAAAAAAAGAAAAAAAAGGAACGGAGAGGGTTGAGTGCGGGAGTGCGGAAGGGGAGGGAGGAGGGGAAGGGTGGGGTGGTGGCACCACGGAGGGTGGCAGTGTCCCTCAGAGGGTGACAGTCCCCTCCAGGGTGGTGTCCCCATGGAGGGCAGCTCAATGGCGATGTCACCAGGTGGGGTGGTGGCACCTGGAAGGACAATGTCCCCATAAAGGACAATGGGGACAGCGCAATGGCGATGTCACCAGGTGGGGTGGTGGCACCAAGGACGGTGACAATCCCCTCCAGGGTGGTGTCCCCATGGAGGGCAGCTCAATGGCGATGTCACCAGGTGGGGTGGTGGCACCTGGAAGGACAATGTCCCCATAAAGGACAATGGGGACCACGCAATGGCGATGTCCCCAGCTGGGCTGGTGGCACCTGGGAGGACAATGTCCCCATAAAGGACCATGGGGACAGCGCAATGGCAATGTCACCAGGTGGGCTGGTGGCACCACGGAGGGTGGCAGTGTCCCTCAGAGGGTGACAGTCCCCTCCAGGGTGGTGTCCCCATGGAGGGCAGCTCAATGGTGATGTCACCAGGTGGGGTGGTGGCACTAAGGACGGTGACAATCCTCTCCAGGGTGGTGTTCCCAATGGGATCAGCCCAATGGCGATGTCACCAGCTGGGCTGGTGGCACCTGGAAGGACAATGTCCCCATAAAGGACAATGGGGACCACGCAATGGCGATGTCCCCAGCTGGGCTGGTGGCACCAAGGATGGTGACAATCCCCTCCAGGGTGGTGTCCCCCTGGAGGACAATGGGGACAGCCCAATGGCAATGTGCCCAGATGGGTTGGTGGCACCAAGGACGGTGACAATCCTCTCCAGGGTGGTGTCCCCATGGAGGACAATGGGGACAGCCCAATGGCAATGTGCCCAGATGGGTTGGTGGCACCAAGGACGGTGACAATCCTCTCCAGGGTGGTGTCCCCATGGAGGACAGCTCAATGGCAATGTCACCAGGTGGGTTGGTGGCACCAGGGAAGGTGACAGTCCTCTCCAAGGTCATGTCCCCAGTGGGATCAGCCCGTGGTGGTGTCACCAGCTGGGCTGGTGGCACCAAGGACAGTGACAGTGCCCCCCAGGCTGGTGTCCCCACATAGGACAATGAGATCAACCCAATGATGATGTCCCCAGGTGGGCTGGTGGCACCAAGGACAGTGACAGTGCCCCCCAGGGTCATGTCCCCAGTGGGGACAGCCAGTGACGATGTCCCCAGCGGGGCTGGTGGCACCACAGAAGGTGACAGTCCCCTCCAGGCTGGTGTCCCCAGTGGGGACAGCCAGTGACGATGTCCCCAGCGGGGCTGGTGGCACCACAGAAGGTGACAGTCCCCTCCAGGGTGGTGTCCCCGTGGAGGACAATGGGGACAGCCCAATGGTGATGTCCCCAGATGGGCTGGTCGCACCACAGAGGTGACAGTGACATGCAGAATGGTGTCCCCAAGGGGATCAGCCCAATGGCGATGTCACCAGGTGGGCTGGTGGCACCTGGAACAACAATGTCCCCATAAAGGACAATGGGGACAGCGCAATGGCGATGTCACCAGGTGGGCTGGTGGCACCAAGGACAGTGACATTGCCCCCCAGGCTGGTGTCCCCATGGAGGACAATGAGATCAACCCAAGGATGATGTCCCTGGATGGGTTGGTGGCACCAGGGAAGGTGACAGTCCCCTCCAGGGTGGTGTCCCCAGTGGGATCAGCCCAATGACAATGTCCCCAGTGGGGCTGGTGGCACCTGGGAGGACAATGTCCCCATAAAGGACCATGGGGACAACCCAGTGGCAATGCCACCAGGTGGGTTGGTGGCCCCAGGGAGGGGACAGTGACACATAGGGTGGTGTTCCCATGGAGGACAATGGGGACAGCCAGTGGCAGTGTCCCCAGCTGGGCTGGTGGCACTGCAGAAGGTGACAGTCCCCTCCAGGCTGGTGTCCCCAGTGGGGACAGCCAGTGGCAGTGTCCCCAGCGGGGCTGGTGGCCCCCGGGAGGTGACAGTGTCCCCCCCCGTGGGGACAGTGCCGGCCCAAGGAGGGGGTGGCCCCCAGCCCGCGGTGTCCCTCGGAGCGGTGACAGCCCCGCCCGGGGGGGGTGACAGCCCCGAGGGAGGCCTGCTGGCCCTGGGGGGGTGACACGGTGACACCAGCCCCGTGCTGTCCCCGTCGGAGGTCACGTGTCCCTGCTCAGTGACGTCACACGCTGGGGGTGACACCCGAGGGGGTGACAGCCCCGAGGGGGGTGGCGGTGCTCACCCCCCGGGTGGCCCCATTGTGTCCCCCCGTGTCCCTCTGTCCCCCTCGTGTCCCTCTGTCCCCTCCTTGTCCCTCTGTCCTCTCATGTCCCTCTGTCCCCTCGTGTCCCCTCCCTGTCCCCCCGTGTCCCTCTGTCCCCCCGTGTCCCTCTGTGTCCCCTCTGGTGTCCCCGCAGGACCCCCCGCTGACGCTGCAGCTGCTGTTCCTGGACGGGGAGGAGGCGTTCGGCACCTGGAGCGAGAGCGACTCGCTCTACGGGGCGCGGCACCTGGCGGGGACGATGGCGGCCAGGGCACACCCCGCGGGGTCGGAGCTCACCGCCATGGTCAGTGACACCGGGGACACCGGGGACATTGGGGACACCAGGGACAGCGGGGACACCCCGCGGGGTCAGTGACAGTGACACTGGGGACATTGGGCACACCCCGCGGGGTCGGAGCTCACCGCCATGGTCAGTGACACCGGGGACATGGGGGACACTGGGGACACTGGGGACACTGGGGACAGTGACACTGGGGACACCGGGGACACCCCGCGGGGTCGGAGCTTACTGCCATGGTCAGTGACACCGGGGACGTGGGGGACAATGGGGACAATAGGGACATTGGGGACATCCTGCAGGGTCAGAGCTCACCGCCATGGTCAGTGACACCGGGGACATGGGGGACACTGGGGACACTGGGGACACTGGGGACACCGGGGACATGGGGGACACTGGGGACACTGGGGACACCCCGCGGGGTCGGAGCTTACTGCCATGGTCAGTGACACCGAGGACATGGGGGACACTGGGGACAGGGACACTGGGGACACTGGGGACACCGGGGACACCGGGGACACCCCGCGGGGTCACAGCTCACCGCCATGGTCAGTGCCATGGAGGGGATGCTGTCCCTGCGGTCGTGTCCCTGTCCCCTCGGTGTCCCCTCGGTGTCCCCACGGTGTCCCCGTGTCCCCTCTGTGTCCCTGTCCCTGTGATGTCCCTGTGTGTCCGTGTGTCCCCGTGTCCCCTCGGTGTCCCCTCGGTGTCCCCACGGTGTCCCTGTGTCCCCAGAGCCTGCTGGTGCTGCTGGACCTGCTGGGCGCCCCCAGCCCCGCCATCCACAGCCACTTCCCGCAGAGCCACCGCTGGTTCCTGCGCCTGGCCGCCATCGGTGCGACACCGGGGGACACGGGGGGGGACACGGGGACAGGGAGGGGACAC